ACTGTCACAATCACTCGTAACATTGCACTATGCATAAGTAATGGCGTGATTTGGAGCCTCAGTGAAATAATAATGCACGAAGACGCTAAGCAATTTTTATACCTTTCGCTCTCTTTTCACGTCAATGAAATGTGGACGTTTGTTTTAGATTTTCATCATATGGACGCTTCGTTATTCGGTCGCCAATGAGCAGCAAATTGACTGTGGGAAAATAGGTAAGACTGGCCAAACATTGTTGGAATGAAAACAATTAACGCTGAAATTTACTCAAATGAGAAATGATAACAATACGTAAACTTCCATTGGGATTCTTTACAAAAGGATTCGATCGTACACTAATTTAGCAAAATCTCGACTTTTTTTATCTTCAAACTTTATTACTTCTGGTGATTTGTTAATAGCGCACGACATAAATAGGAAAACCTAAACTCAGTTTAAATATAAACATGGAGGCCAACGGTTTGCAGTGTATCGATAAGGTCGGTACGTTGACAAATCTACATTCCAAAATCTATTTTGCCAATTTTATATTTTTCGCTGTATCGACATATTTTGGTCTACTGAGGCGCGTATTGATGCTTGAAATAAAATTCAAAGAGTAGCCATAAAATATTATAGGTAATTATATTAATTGAAACTTGAAAAATTCTTCTTTAACTGAGAAACGTCATCTCTCAATAAATTTCATTCCTATCGTTTTGTTTGATGGCTACTCTTCAAATTTAATGCTCGACCTTTCATGGCTATTAATATGAAAATTACGATTTCCGTCCGGTATAAAATTGGTACTGAACTTGTTTGCCATCTATGTTGAGTATCTGAAAAGCTTACAGTGCAATTATTCCAAGCTGCAACTTCAATTTAACTGAACTGTTTGTATTAACATCAAAAACAAACATTACATATACAATTTGTTTGCCTGTTGAAAACCACAAATTTAATAATGTCGCATCGACGGTTATTTTATTTATAGACATACTATATATACGAAAGGACAAAGAGCATACATACACCTGCACATAAAAGAAATATTTTTAAAAATACACACATGATGAATTGAAGACGGGAGACTATCTTTAGATCACACATAGCTATCGCAAATTTCATTCGGTATACAAATTAGCGGACGACAATCGTCCACGAAACAGACACAAAAATCGGTCATTATACGCCATCTTTAACTGTCATATACGCTTGCGATGAACGATTTTAGTTGAATGGTTGAAAGCAGACGCCAGTCTCCAACATGCACGTGAAACAATTAACAACATTTCACTTATCGGAGAACTTTTGTGATAAAACACAATCTACATTGGAAACTCTTACTAAAACATTTCCAAAGATTACAAAGAAATCTAAACGCCCCGACAATCTTTATAGAAAAGACTATAAAAGACAGAGTCAACAAAACTACAAAGTCGTGCCTGCATGGCAGAAAGTTCATGGAAAGTCTGTTAGCCGACTTACAGCCCTCTTTTGATATCTAGTAACGTTGAAGAAAAGATATTCGTGTAAGATTGATTGGTTACAGATCATCTAATCTAAATGCCCATTGCAAATATATATAAAGGTGCAAAGGTCTATAAAGAGTGAAAAAGTCGGCAATACGCTAATACATACAAACGAAATTTCGGGAAAAAACTAGAAGTTGTCATATTTAGCGTCCAAGACCCTATTTACAAGAGACCGGAACGAAGTCAAGTCGGTACTCGTTCGTGTTGGATAAAGTATTATTTATAGTAGATTTTTACATGGGACCGTTAGAAAATAACTCAGAGCGTTCTGAAGTAATACCGTCTACTGAACCAACCGACTGAGTTCAGAGCGGTATGAATCGAAACCGGCATCAGACAACAACAACAACAAATGCGCACAAAAGCAAATTAAAAACAAAATTGTTGGTAGGTGTAAAACTAGGCTTCCCAGGAGGCAATGCGCGAAGGAGGAATTTTCGTGATTTGGTGCCGGTCTCACAGTAAACTTGCATGCAACAAATTCCGATTTTCATTCCGGTTTGACTTTGTTCCGGTCTCGTGTAAACTGGGCCTTATGGACGTCTTATTCCACATTGCAATCGATACCGTACTATTAACAATGCAAACAAAATCCACAGACATTTTGCTATTTGTTTCTTTACAATTATACGGATCTATGCCATATGTATCATAGCGCGGGCTCATGCAGTAGTCTTATAGAAATCACATGCCAGAAATAGTTTCAAAATTAGGAACGAAAATGGCGGAAATTGATCATGTGACCGATATTGCCCAATCAACGTTTGCAAACCAGAAACAATATGTCTCTCCCAATAGAGGGCTCTGGTATGAAAAACTCCGTACACAAATAGTATTTAAGTATGAACAACTCCAGCCTTTCCATTCACTATAGTCTTGGACAGTTGGTACAATTTAATTTACAATAATATAAAATTGGTAGCTAGACAGTAAATTGCAGGATTACACAATAAAACTAGTGAACAATTAGCTATAAACCGAATGAAAGAAATCATTGCCGAGGGAAAACGACAAATCAATACAATATAAATGATGAACTTATATATTTTAGCACCCAAGGGAAGGTAATGCATTTCATAAACAACATGCATCGCGATGTCATTAAATCATGCCGATCTGGATGATCAAAATTATGAATTTTACGCGAATTCTCATTGAAGTTTTACTCAACGTGAATAATATGCAATGTATACTTGACAAATTGTTCCAAAATCCTAATAAAAGCCAATTGACCGGTTATTTCAGAAACAGCTAAATTACCCTTTGAAAAAAAAGAATTTGAAATTTAGCCCTTTAGCGCTGTTCCTTTAATTACAACAGAATCCCAGTCACAAAAATATCGCATGAATGCTATTAATGAGTTTCAGCTCTTCTAGATCCAGCTCCATCAGACGCATTTGTACTTTACTTCTTGTCAAAAAATTCGGATTTTACACGTGGTATGTGCCACATTCCGCGATAAGCAAGCATGCAACCGGTCCGTCCAACTCTTTCCGGATGATTTCGTCGATCTCATTGAAGTTAAGCTGATCCCGATTCGTTTTTCAAACCAAAATCTCGTAAACGACGCTTCAGCGTAGATAATGACATCTCAATGTTCTAATTTTTCGCCAAGAATTCGCAAATATCTCCAAACTCGAATCCACTGTTGAAATAGGTTTCAATAACTTCACGCTCAGAAAGTGACGGTCTGTTTAGTAAGATTTGATGGCAAGGTAGTTCAATCGAAATCAGAATCGATTTGACGACAGCAAATTATGTTTTAGCAACAAAATGACCCTCAATATAAAATTTTATACTTTATTGTGACTTAATTCCGAGGCTCCTTTAGCATAGCGGTGAATGGTATTTGAAATGTGTTGTGAATTTTGAAATGTGTTGTGAATTTTGAAAATGTGTTGTGAATTTTCAAATGTTTTGTGGATTTTGAAATGTGTTGTGAATTTTGGCTGTAGTAATTTGAATTCAAAATGTGGCGCTATAATGATTCTGACTTCATTCAACCAGATTGAGGGAGTGACCGGAAATGTCTAATTAGTTTTAGTCGTGAGCAGAGCGCAATGTAGCTATTGTTCTACAAGTTGTTATAGAAAACAAATTAACATAAATACACTTTCTCAAACCGTACTTTAGGGGCTGTTCACATGAGCCCGGTAACCGGGATTTAGCGAGGCGTGAAATGAATTTGAGTAATTGAAATGAGTAAAAACTTTAAAACTTACAAAAATTACAATCTATTCTTAAGCGTCATAAGTCCCTTTCGTAGTAATTTTCAAATCAGGCTATATTATTTGTTTTCATTATAAAGGTTTTGTGAATTTGCAAAGTCAGAGCATAGAGAAATTACTCAAATAATTTTTTGTTGTGATGTATTTAATCTTTTCCATTTGCCAAAATGATTTAACGCTTCGCTGAATCCCGGCTACCGGGATCATGTGAAAAGCACCTTAGTCGAGTTTATGCCTAGTATTCTTTAGATCGTGGCTAGTCGAAGACTAACGTTTTCGAGGCAAGATCTCGAGAGTCAACGCCTGATCTTTACAATTTAGTTGTTTGCACCAAGTAGAATAAAGTATGCCATAAAAACCACGAGGAATTTTCGTAATTATAAGTTCTAAGATTTAGCTAAATGATCCATAACTAGCATCAGCAAATGCAAATTAAGTAATTTATTCCGTAAAACCTTTGAACTAAGCTCCCGCTGCCTGCCATTACTGAAACAGTTCTTAAAAGGTCTATAAAAACATTTTCTTGTGAAAAACGAACTGGAAATTTTCTAGGAAACAGAAGCTGTCATGTCTTACTGACCTATATGTTTCTGACATTATGAACTTTAATTTCAAATCAAAATAAACGTAAACATGTACAGATGTTATCGCCTAGCGAAAACATTTGGAATTTATCTTCCAGTGGAAAAACGACGCTCTCCGAAAACATGCTACACACAAACTCTTACAAAACCTGATGTAAAAACAATGCTATTAGAGGGAAATAATCACGTGAGTTGATTAAATGTCAACGTTCATTTTCAGTATCTTGTTGTTCATTGTAATTATAACAATCATAGCATGAGTCTGAGTAAATTGACTGGCAAATAAGTCTTCCGACGACGGGAACACGACAAAATGATTCTGTACATGTCAAACTGTCACAAAAATAGATCAGCATGGGAAACCGTCGTTTTATGAAGATCCCAGTTTATGCCGTGCGAGAAAAACAACTAACGAAAGTATGGTACAATAAACTCTCTACAGACATTCATCTTGTTTTAAGTTTTCCGAAGATAAAAACTATACGTGGCGCTTAGCGTAATTTAAGCTTTCAACAAATTTTGCAGACAAATGATGGATCTTACAGAAGCTTATTAAACTGGATCATTGTTGCACGAATCTAAGCTTTTATTTTATCTCAGCGACTAAAACTCGATAGAAGAATCTAAAAATAGTTTTATCAGTGGTATAATCTCCGATGGTTTGGAATATGTTTGTTAAGGAAGGCAATAAACAATTCATAATACATAATTTAGATGGAAAGGAAAAAACTCTGATATATAGATCTATATGATTTAAGCTGCATTCATACGCTAATAGCATATAGCGTTAAGTATACTATTACAATAAATTAATTCTTGTGAAGTGTGTTGATACAATAAAGACTAGCCTACACAGAAGTTTAAAAATACTGGGACGATCGAACATATTCTGTATACCTATACGCTTTGTTGAGTCAGCATGCGTCGCATACATTGCATATGCATGCACTTTTGCCACAAGTGATAACAAAGCCTTAACCGCAAATGCAGAAGAATCGATTTATCAATATACGTGAGAATAATTGCCATTGTAACTATAGTTTAATGTGTGTCTGCGGTTCTCGTATATAATTTCTATTCAGCCCCTTTCAAGTTTCGTTTCAGCACATGTGCAACCGTTAAAACCAATACTGCGATATCATTTTATATCAAGGTTATTGTTGATACTTGTACACAACAGTATTGCAGACACAACTTTTTTTTTTTTTTGACTCTGAAGATGACTACCGCTAAGTTTGTCGAAACGTCAGTCAACAACAACAAAAACAGTTGTTGTGATCCCGGGTTCAAACCATTTACTTTATATATCGTAGTTGTGATTGCAATGCTGCTGTGTACAACTATATCAAATATAGTTGTATTAGAAGAAATAGTTTATGGTCTCTAAGCATACATTTAACAAACGTAACTAGCAATGTTTAGCCACAACAATCGTACATGTGAAAAAGGTTGGTGAATTTTTATGAAGTTAGACTTTGAAAAAACCTGTTAGTAAAACATTCAAAGACATCTGCCATCTGCTAGTTCTTGGGTCTGATGACTCCGTTCTCAGATTAAACGCTGCATGTAATATTTTTGTTCAGAAAAAGATCACAGAATTGCATGTGAGAGACATACGATGACCCTGGAATGTCCGTATGAAAAACCGCTGATGAAAATTACAAAGGCGGAATATGGCAGAACTTTCCCTGAAGACAAAGTTTGCAAACGGCCTGTGGATATGACAGCAGCTCCAGCTGTGAATATTATATGTAGCAACAACGTGACGAGAAAAGTTAGCTCCATTTGTGGAAATCACAGAACATGCTTCTTGCCCGTGAATGACAGTACTTTTAAACACCAATGTAGCCCAGGTATATACAAACATATCCTGGTGTTTTATACGTGCGGTAAGTTCTCACTGCCTGCTCATACCAAGTTTGAATAAATAAGGCCTTGGGAGCAGGTCCAATGTTCAGAAGCCATGGATACAGATCAAACACATGTATCCTGGGCTAAAACTAGAACGCTCATTGGGAAGGTGAACAATCGTATAATTAGCTCTGTTTGACTGATTTCTTTTGAAAGTACAGTAGCTTTGAAAAGTCTTCGTCTTTGCAGAGATTTATCAAAACCAGTCTATGCAGTATGAAATATTTCCAACGATAAATTCAACGCAGACCAAGTGGTAACAATAGCGAAAAAACACTAAAATTCATCCATTTTTGATCGTCAAATTCCTCAAGGCATTTAAGAACCTCTAGGAAATTGTGAATGAATGTTTGGTGGCTTGAGCCACACATATGTGAGATTTTTAACAAAACCTAACTACAAACCTGTACATCCCGATTTACTTGAATCATGTAGGGTAATACTGCCAAAGAAAAGCAAACATTGGTTCTAAAATGAACAATAAAAAGTTGGGATTGATTAAACTTTAAATAAGGCAAAAGGTAGCAAATATCTGAGTTCAGCAAAATAACAATGAAAAAAGAGCCACGGACGTAGCTTGCATCGATAATGGGGGGGGGGCAATATTCATGTATGCATATTATAATCCCCAGATAAGAACTTAATACAGCAGAACATGCATATATGAATATCATACCTCGCCACCTCAACAGGGAAAAACAGAAAATATAACAAAGTATTTGTAATCCTGCCGCCAAGCCTTTCACAAACATAGATGCATAACATCGAGAGCAGATCAGTGCAAGCCTGAGACCGAAGGTCGAGTTCTCACAAACGTCTCTGAGGTTTGCATAAGACAGTGCAAACACGAAAAACATCTTTTATTTCCTTTATAAAATAACAATAATGCGAAAAAGACAAACGTTTTAATTTTTCCTCTAAAATGTATTCATGATCGATTTGCAAATTCTCTTTAACTGATTGATTGTTTTCACTGATTTGTTTGGTTGAGCTCAGATGTGTTTTGCACAGGCTAATGCAAACACGGCTCCAGACCATGTCACTCAACACCCCGCAACAGAGTGTGCAAAGGTTCTAAACATGTCGAGTCTGTGTTGAGCGCGTTTTGAGCGCATGTTGAGTCACCTGTTGGGAGTGTACGATGATTTGCCTATTTGTACCAAGTTGGTACACCAACTTGGAACAAAACCCCCTGAACAGATCACAGCAATTACAAACACCTTACAAACGACTTATTCACAATACAAACAACTAAACACAGTACACTTTACACTAATCCACGATGGCAATACACAATTGATACCCACACATTTCCTATACACACAATGCAATGACGTAAGAACCAGATAACAAATACGGCTAATCTCACGTTTACTCCTCATTTGACTCTGAAGATGACTACCACTAAGATTGTCGAAACGTCAGTCAACATCAATAACAGCAGTCCTTCTCAGGACTCTACTAACCTGGACGATCTACATCCACAAACATGTAATGACACTCTCGGGTTCAAACCATTTACTTTATAATTATAACCATTAAAATTGCAGAATGTCAACGACGACGAAGCACAAGAAATGTAAATGACCGATCATCGTGCATAGTAAGGGCCTCCACATCCTTCTCTACTTCAACTTCACCAAGTGTAATTTATTCCACAAAGTTTACATCCATTGGTGGTCCTTTCAACACCCAATCACAAATGAGAATCTCAACACGTACACCAATCACGATCAATTCCACACCAAGCATAGAGCTATCGTCAACGACTACTATTTTAAACTCGATAGAGCATCCTCACTCCACACAACCGACTAGAAGAAAAATTGATAATGTTTCAGTGAGAAAAGTTCAGAAAAAGAGTACATCCTTCTTGGCAATCACTGAACTTTTCGCAGTTTATGATGGTTAGTAAGCATGGCTAAAAAATAACATCATTTATTTGCTGACATATGGCTTGAAGTGTCGAAAATGAATTGTATACCGTGGATTGTGCTCAAAGTTTGTATGACACAATTTTTTGTCTTGAATGAAAGACCTCCGAAAGCTATAATGGTCGTTTTTACCATGCACTATGCTTACTTCTGGAACTGTTAGAGATTTGCAATGATTTTTTAAAATAAAGCAATAGGAAGTTTGTAGAATAACGACAAACATAAACGTGATATTACGATAAGCAAATAAGAAAACGATTGACCATAATTTTCAAAATCATGGGCGTAGGAAATTCGATGATATTTTCTTATGACATTTTCTTGCAATGATCTTTTACATAAAGCAAGAGGAAGTTTGTAGAATAACGACAAAAATAAACGTAATATTACGATAAGCAAATAAGAAAACGATTGACCATAATTTTCAAAATCATGGGCGTAGGAAATTCGATGATATTTTCTTGGGATGAGTGCTCATAATCATGATGTACAATAATAAGTTCTTTTGAAATCCATCATTTTGAACCGCTTGTATCATGCATATATGAATATGAGCCCCCCTCCAACTACCGATCTTCCCACGGTCATGCTCGTAAGCAAAATTGTTAAAAAAGGTCTTTTACATTTTTCAGAGATCCTTCATTTAAGACAGTGAACCTTAGTGTCATAAACAATTAAAATTTCTGCAAAGAGCAATTTGATTGTAGACAATGTCCGCCCTCCCCCACCTCGCCCTTTAAATTTCCTGTATAAATTAAAAAACTGCAGTGCATCAGAAAAAATCCGATGATTTTCCTTTCTATAGCTTTGTCGAATTTCACGTAAACATGTTGTTTATTGACGTTGTTCGCTTTGCTCTTCGAAGCTGAACTCGAGTGATCCCACCCCGTCTGTCTGGGGGTCAGATCTCACAAAATTTGGCTTCAATTCGTCTGTTACCGATATAGAGGTGCCTTCAAGTTGTAATTAGTTCAGTGGTATATACAGCTTTAGATATACAGTTCAGTGAGTTCAGCAAAAAAGCGAACGCACATAATGCACACTGCGCATGCGTTAGCTATACATAGTTAAGTGAGCTGTTTACACGAACATAACAGTGTCAAGGCACGCATCGTTCACTGTGGAACTAAGACAATAATGAGGGATGTTAAATAGAACGTTAGAGAAAGTTCAAACTTGTCTAAAAAACGCTCAACACCTTTCAATGTCACTCAACACCCCGCAACAGAGTGTGCAAAGGTTCTAAACATGTTTAGCGCATGTTGAGTCAACCTGTTGAGAGTGTTTCCACGGATCTTAGCGGAGTGTCTATTGTCTATACCGAGAGTTGGTACGGAAAAAAAAACCTGAATAAAAAGAGAAACTCTTTGAACCAACTATTTTTTTTACTCAACCATTGTATGACTTAGATTTTGATTTTAATCAACCCAATATTGAAATTAAATTTAAGCCAAAAAATGGGTTACTTAACACAACTTCTTTTCGGTACCGAACCTGGGAATATAAATAGTGACTACTTCCTAGAAACTATGGTTATTTGCATTCTTCTTTTTCAATAAATAGAGGCAGCACACGAGCACCCAGCAATGGCATTGATGTGGTGTTTTATTGGAATACTTCTCGGTCTCTTCATTATCACAATGGCGTTCTTATATGTTGAACGAAAACGAAAGAAACGAGATCAACAAATATTTCGGTTGAGTCAGTTGCATTCTGAAGGCTCGGCGATACAAAGTCCCACAATTTACCCAAGCTTGCAATTCCAGGAATCACACGAATTAGAAAACACGCACGAGACGGCGTCGAAACCATGTGGATCAGAATATAACGGTCATGCAAGCATACTTAAGGATGATAACTCCATGTTCATCAATCCACTATGGCGTGATTCAAAAAATCTGTGTTTGCGTTATGAAAGCAAAAAGGAAATAGGAACTATAGAAAGAGAAAGATTAATCAGTAAATCTATGCCGTGCAACTTGAGTGGAAAGATCGAATCTGATTACGTAAAAATGAGCGGTGTTCGCAGATGTGAAAATAACAGCACTGGTGACTTGAGGAATACTATTGAAAACATGAGCAGCGGAAAACGAACAGGGGCCAGTGATGCAGCGGCTAGCTGTTGCGACGGTACTTCAAGTAGTTTCTCCAAAAGGAAGGAGGAACGGGCAATCGTTGCCAACTACCTCAACAAAAATCCAACAAAAAAACGGGAAGTCCTGCTGAACTTCAATCAGCAGCCTGCAAGCACCATAGAGGTTGGAATTATTTCGCACCCAGTTGCCAGCACCAAAATTTTCCTCTCACAATCGTCCAGGCAGACAAGAGCGGATGTGATAAACAGAGAGACAGAAGAACCAGATAAAAAAAGCGAAGGGGAATATTTTTCAGAGACTCTAGTTGGACAGAAACTGCTCTCTAAATTTGGTTTGGACAATGAAGATCACGATGGCAACGAAAACTCAAGAAATACAACACTATCAACGCCCTGTCTCAGAACTGTCGACTTTAACAACAAAAGCCAATATCGAGGTAAGCTTTCCTGTTGTAAGAACTTCGAAGCACTTAGTAATCAAGACTGAAACCTTCGTGACCATGAAATGAAAACTGATTTTTAACACACATCATTAGTCTAGCACAAATCCCGCTCTCCTATTTTTCCAGGTTGAATTTCCTGTTTACTTTTAGTGTTAGACTGAATAGAGGATCAATGGATTATAAGCTACCCATACTGGCATATGCAGCCCGTATAACTAAAATCACACTGTGTCATTTCAGCTGAATTTTAAGGATAGTGTATTGCTATACGTCTTGATATGTGCTCTTTAATTCAAAACTTAAAATTAAATGCCATATTGTGAGTAAATGCTTGAGAAATATTTGAAATTTCTCATGACAAAGCACATAGAATGCAAATCTCATTGATTGTCCAATTATTTGTTTGTGTTATGTGACATTTATGTTCTTTTATATACTCAAGCAAAAAATTCTGAGCTCAAAGTTCATTCAAGACCACTTAGAAGTAAAAGTTTCGACTCAAGTTGTCCATATAGAGAAAAAATTTTGCTAGCCGATCTGTTACCACCTAAACCAAGCAAGCCAAATAAATTCCCTCAAAGCACTAGCAACATCCTTTTACATATGAGTCAACCTCCACCATTCAAAAAACCGCTGAAGACACAAATACATGAAACTAAGACCAACACAAAAGAAAAAGATGAGAAATATTATAATACACCCCTTAGTATAACGAGCAGATGTGAAGTGAAATCACCAAAGAAAACAAGAACTAGCTCTGGATATTACAGTAACACAACGTCACCACTGATAGACCAGTCTACAGAAAACATGAATTCAGAAGTAGATAATGATGCGCTTGAGGGTAAGCAACGAATACCGTTGAATGGAGAAGATGATCTACCCCCATTACCACCCCCAGCACCTCGACTTACGCCCATTATTCCCTTACCGCACACATCTGTCAGTGTGTATGAACAGGCAATTTCAAAAGACAAAATTACCGAAGGGGTTTCCTCAAGGACTGGTGGAAAAAAAGTGCATTTTGAGCAGTCGGCAAAACCATAATCAAGTTTGCAAATATTACATTCTTCCTCACAAGCACCGAGCAATTTTCAAAAGCAACAAGAAAAACGTACCTACCTATGTAGATTCGTTGCAGAGACGATACAGCATCAGTCAAAATACACTATGAAACTCCACCCTAAATTGACTTAAATTTCATGAAACACCATCTTCTCCATCAAATTGTTTTGGCATGTTTCGACATGTATATGCCAAAACTCGAGTTGTAGCTATTTATTTACACCTACGCTTGATCTGTCGTTTTCTCCATCCATTATGAAAGCTACTACTGTAGCGTAACTATATTTTGATAAGTTTCAACACCCGGTTGGTAGATAGTCGTTTGAGTCAAGTCTATTTACGAATAGGTCATTCACCTTGCAAACATTAGCTCAAGCAACTCAGTAATCATTTGTCCATGGAATAAAAAGTAGTGAAAACCAAGTTTTATACACTTCAAGTTAATCATGGACGACAGCATTTGTCAAGCCACTCGAATCAAAAAGTAAAATCTAACCAATCAATCGATGGGCTGTTTCAATTTATTTTGTCAAACGCTAGTTAAGTCCCTGCTTGCGTTGAAAATTTACTAGCTGCACGTTGGAAGAACGTGTTTACCAAAGTTTTGAACTAATAGTTGATGTTCACAACATATCTATCAATGAAAATAGAAATAGAATCAACATATATAAGTAATGTACATATGAAAAAGTAGTCCTATTCAATTTAAAAGATATTTCAGTGCAATGTGCCTTCCAAAAATTTTTTCGCCACACTATGCTCAAATAATGCAAACACCGTTGCTACAATAACAGTGCGTAGCAAGCTATCAAACTAGTCATGCCCAACACGGCTAAAGATTTCCATCAAAGCAATAGAGTCATAGTATATTATTTAGGCTTATGACTGTTAGTTTCAGTTCAGAGAGATTATTTCATTTGCGCAAGGATTAGTTTGCTCACCTAAACGATTGTATAAGTGCATCTGGGCATGATCAAGCCCCACATTTACATGATCATGCTCATATACATGATCAAGGGCATAACCAGCTTAATCCCGCGAATATCTTTCATTCTGTACAAGAATAGGGTTCGTAGTTAAATTACTTTCAATTAAAGACTTTAATCAAGACAATTTTTCTAGTAATTTCCATTACTATAGCTTCTGCAAGTCTTTCAGTTGCTGTCAAAGAAGTATCACCTGCGATTTGTTAAAGAAAGCCAAATTTGCAAACAATATGCAATCCAAGCTTTCAGGAAAGATTGGATTTGTGGAAGTTAACTCAGGGCAGCGATGTTTTGCTGGCCCTTCTATTGTTTGTGTTCTTTAAGTTCTCAGTCGTGCACGATAACTGGTTTAAAAAGAAAAAGCGTTGTAAGGAAACACGAGAAAGCACATGCTAGTATTTCAGACGTGAAAAACCTTTGGCTCTGGGCCAGTGTTGATAAGTAGTAATACGCGCAAAGAGATTCAGCGTCACAATAAAAAGATAAGGCAAAATAAAGAAATTTTCGAAACTATTGCAGCTGCAGTTATATATTTGTCGATACAAGACCCAGCGTTATATTTGTAGGGGTCAGTTGCAATAGAGTCATTTGCTATATCAACAGTGCGAAAAAAGTTTGCTGAATCAGCATAAGAGTCTCAAAGAGAAACGTATTGATGGTGTTCATGATCAGGTTCAATGGGAGTACCCAATTTTGCTCACTCTGCTGCCCATAGACTGCATCTCGTAACATGACAAGGTGCGTCCTTAAATTCAACTGTCAACCTTTTTTTGGCTAATATTGCTGCTCTCTATAATTCTATTCTTTTAAAGGAAATGCTCAATAGAGAAAAACTTACATTTTTTCTCACAGGTGCGAGTTTCCTCATCCTAGTGATACAAGACGGTGTTGTAGAGCTCGTCTCATTGATGTGATGCATGATAGCTGTGAAACTCATAGAAATATTTGAAACTCTTCTCGAGAAAATACCAGGGTGAGATGATAAAACATCAAGTATGGCAATTAGTTTATGGAGCATCCTAGAGGGTTCTTGTCTTGTATTTTGGTATTTGTATATCAGAGGATATTTGAGCAATCATTCATATATTTCACTTCATTTTCCATATGTAGAATTTTGTAATACACAGTCTTTGTCACTTTTCTGAGAACTGATGCTATATGTTCTAATATTCATAACAAGGCTGTTGATATGGTGGAACTTCAGTTAACAATGTTGGATAAATTACTAGCATATGTATTTAGAAACTTCTTAATTGTAGAACATTCTGCTATTGTAGGCATGCTGACTGACATGGAATGTTTTAAATTTTTGGACCTTGTGAACCAATGGTATTTAAAACAGGGAAATGTGATGAAAACATATATCTTCTCAGGGAGATATATGGCGATTTGTTTTGAATGCTAGGACTAGTGTTGACGAATGACGCAACAACATTTTTTGGCTTCACTTTTTGTCGTAAGTTATCGTTACCGACATCTTTATATAGTGTTCACCTTTACGTACTCAAAGCAAAATACGTTCTAGCTCTCTACTCTGCCATGAGCACGAATATCTTACGAACATGCAATGCTCGTGTTTACTTATAATTCAAACCAATGGAATATTTCAAAGCATATTTATTTGCGGGAGTTCGCCACTAACGCGTCAGGAGGTAAAGCCCAGCAAATTCTGGCTTCAATGGTCATTCCCCTTCAATGGGTTTTTTACAATTTACATCAAACAGCAGAAAGTTTACCATGTTCTGAAAGGAATTGACAGGGAAAACTAATTAACAAAAAAATTTTCAGATTCTCATTAATTACACTAATGAGCCAATATGGCGGCACGCTAATTAGCACTTACGCGTGACATGATTTTGTGCAATTGAACAAGTTTAATATCATAAATGGTACATTTTTGGAAAGCTTAGAACAAAATCTAGTGCCTGACGTTTTTCTTTTTTCAAAAATTCTCTTTTACAAAAAAATATTGAAGAAAATCTAAATTTGACCGAAAATTCCATACTAATTAATATGCAAATACATTATAATTAATCTACATTATAATAGGTAATAATGATAGATGATAATACATTATAAAGATCTAAATATTAAAAAACGTCAGGCACTAGATTAAGGTATATTCTATCTAAATGCCAACTTTCAAGCCCTGCTTCATATTTTAACAAAATTATGATGTCACAAAAACTGCCCATTTTCGTAAAATTCCTACATCCAGAAAAATGCAATTAAAAGTTTCTTTCTAGACATCTTACTCTAAGAAGCTTTAGAAGCCCCCTTTTTCATAGGTCGGACCTTCATTTGCTTCAGCTTTGTCCATAAAAGTTTTTCTTCGATTTTCTCAGGAATTTTCTTCTGTTCCTCACTCCACTTGTTGTCTTCATTGCATACAAGTTTATGCAATTTGAGTCACATTTGGGAAGCTTTACAAGTAGACTCCTGGCATTATACTTAAGTCTCCAAAAATCTTTAAAAACGATATATCCCCCAGGCATTAAAATAAGAAAATTTTACAAGGACACACTTTAAAAGCCCGGCGTTTACTTTTCCAATCATTTTCAAGGCTTTCCTTTTGTTACACATTTGTCACTCCGGCCACTTAAGGGTGAAGATGAACATACAGAAACTTTATTACTCTAACCTAAGGTGGTTAACCGTTTTCCATGATATAATATGTTGTATTTCTGTATCAGTCTTTGCGACGCTTATTTTGAGTAACGAGGACATGTTAAATATGAAAACTGACAATAGGAAGGTTCATAAAACTCGAATTTTTTTAAGCTATAAATTTTCGATGTTTTATTTTCATTGTTTCACAAAGCAACAGTTTGTTATCAATTAAAACTAAAATTAAAAGTAATATTTGTCATAGATGATTTTCAATACTTTTTTTCGTGGAATTTCTCCATTTTTAGTGCATATTAGGGGAATTTTTGCCTTTTATGCAAAGATTTTGACAGTTTGGGGAAATTTAACACAAACTTCACACACTCCTAATCTTTGGCCATGAGAATTACGACTAGTTATCTCCTTTATAATACTTATGTCAACATCACATTTACGCATATTGGTCTCTTTGACAATATTAATGGTAGTCCCTGAGTCTGTTTGAGGGACTGGTTCGACGAAAATTTGTTTACTTCAATGTCCTCGGTCTCAAACTCCCTATCACTTCTAACTTCCATACCATTTGATACAAAGTTTTTAGATTTATTTTCGCACATACGTTCAAAATCATTAACTGCATCTTATAACTGAAGTCAGATGACGTAGCATATAATTTAGCGCATTTTACTAATTAGTAAGCATATTGTTACTACGAAAACCTCTACGGGGTAGAACGATAAGAAAGAATAGATCATATTCTAATTCTTTTTCTAGAGGACACATATTTTCATTTACAAGGACACATTTTTGAATTACAAGGACACAAAGTGTGTAAAAAACACACTTATTTTAATGCCTGAATTATCCCCATAATTAAACTTTAGCACAGCTAAATATGTTGCCAGTGCCACAGTTTCCTTCTCAACATAGGTTGACTTATGACATCGGTCCCAAATCAATCCATTTACACACTCGTTTGCATTTTGTGTTAACCAATGGTCTCATTTCCCCAACAGTGCTCTGTCTCTTAAACAATCAACCACACGTTCAACCAAGTTCACAATACATTTAGGAAGTCCATTTATGTGTTTGTAAGTGTTTGGGTTTTTCTTGTTCTGACACCAACTGTCTTCTTCTTTGTGACAAAGTTGATGTTGTGGGTTGTCATTGGAAGATGCAACGTGATACAAGGCAGCCTTTATATCTTTAGCCATTTGATATACATCATTTAGATTGTTTCTAATAGCAAGACCATAGTAATTTTGAAAAACAACTATTTTTCCATCTGTCAATTTTCCCTTGCCAGCCAAGCCTTTTTCATCTTCAGGTTTTGTACCTTTGTGTGCATTCTTTAGCCTCTGCAACCTGCTCCCGACTCTTTATGCATATGACCAATGCACTCTAATTTACTAGGTATTAATTAATCTCCATATGGCTTTATATCCACAATGCTGTTATAAGTAGATGAATCACCATCTCCTAGCATATCTTTGTATTTCAGACCCCGTGTTGCGACAGATCGTTCAAATATTCTGACAGCTCCAAATGTTTCCATGCTGTTCGAACTTCCAGAATGATTAACCTTGCAAAAATGATTGGCTTTCCAAACTTCATATCTGGGATTCACTTCTTTTCTTTGCCCACTTTAAGCACTGTTGGCATTTGTCAGAAATAACTTCGGCATCCACACATTTCTTTGTGACCATGGAAATGGCAGTAACCACACTGTTGAGTGATGTGCCATCCAGAGATATTCCACACTCACCATCATCGTTTCCACATATTTCTCTGACTTTAAATGCACTAGTTGTCATGCTATCATTGGCATGTTGTTGAATAACTGGCCAAAGTTTTTTGTTCTGGATTCTAGTGAAGTTCCTTCGAGTGAGTGGTGGAGGCATATTCATGATCTTAGCAAAAGTCACCATTGCATTGTGACCTTTACCAATTTCCCTGAATGCTAGGACAGATCTAACATTCACATAAAATGAGCGCCCTTGTTTTTTCGATGTGTCAAAACAGTACTTCCATTCACATCCTAGATGTCGAAAGTTCAAGACAACATATTGAGAAAAACTGTTTTTCTTTTTCATATCCATGTGAGCACTCGTGTCACCTCCGCAATCTGGAGAC